CTTCATGCCAAACTCGGCTACCCCGAAAGAAAGAGAGATTCTGGACAATACTGTCAACGAATCTCAGGACAAGAAAGCTATTTGTCTGGAACAAGCAAAACGTTTAGCAAACGAAAGGAAAATAGTTTTGAACAATACAAACAAGCACCCATCCCATCCACCCACCTTTCGTTGGTTTCCAGTTCCTGAAGCTCCACAAAGGAGTGAGAAATCTTATGAAGATTTTACTTTAGTTCACTCTCAGTCTCCAACTAACTCAACTATGCCCACCCTCTCTCTAGAGGAACTGGACGAATATGCGAACAAGGCAAACTTGCCTGATGTGACTGATGAGTTGACCCGTCTGGAGCTTCACGTGCCTTATCGCTTTCTTTGAATGTTGTTTGTTTTATCTGTATGGCTTGGGGCACTTCTGCCTGATTTCGTTCAATGAAATTCTCTATCTTTATTGCCGTTACTAATTGCTCTTTTGACCATGTTTCTATGATGTCAGAATATTACCTTCGGGTCAAAGATGGAATTATCTCACATGTATTATTTCTTAAAAGTTTTAAACATGATAATGAATGCATGGATCTATATGCTAATTGGTTCCATAGAAACCATAGATTCTCCTAGTGGTTAACATTTGGATAAAACAAATGAGCAAGTATTAATCATCATCTTATTTTGCTATAAAAGGAGGTCATTGGTTACATTTTAATGCATCTCTCGTTTCTCAACAATGGCCCCTAAAGCTTCAATCACTAGGAATGCATCAAGGAGAACCAGAGCTCGTCTTGAGGGAGACGAACAAGGCGATCATTATCTCGGCAACAACCCACAGAATCCTCTGGATGTCTCATCTAACTCAGAAAGTGAAGACTATGATGAACTCATCAAAATGAGAGCTGATGAAGATGCCAGATCATTTGATCCTAATGAGGAACCCCCTCTAATTGTTAGAAAGGGTTTTCTATCTCTGGGCACTTGGAACAATCCCACTATGGACAAGGACCTTCGGGATTTCTATCGAACCTATAATTGCAAGACTGAGCTTGTAGGATACATTGAAGGTGAATCTGATAAGGAAATGCACTTCTCCGATGGACCATCCCATCCAAATGCTCCTACAACAAAGAACATTCCTAAGGGGTCCAAGGGTGAAACTAGAAAGACAAGGAAAGGAAAGGCGAAGAAATGAAGATTTCTTTGTTATATGTTCAATAATCATCTTTAATTCTGCCTTCCTGTCCATCTATGTTTTGTGAAATTATTAATGAAAAATTTCAGGCATGAAACTCTGTTTGTCTGATATTTGTACGCCTTGGAATCAACTCACTGACCTTGGAATCGTGTTTTTCTTGAAAATATCCATTTAAAGTCTTCTACGACATTAATGGTCAGTTGAAGAAATCTATGGCTATTAATTACAACATTGAATGTTGCGAGCAGTTTTACATTAATATCTCTTCTCATCGTACCTATAAAAGGCGGATATATTTCACTCTTCTCTACCATCTCTATCTCCAAAATGTATCCTAAAAAGCCTTTCACCAGAGGAGATTCTCAAAAGCAAAGAGAACTCGCCAGGAAAATCAGGGAAGAACAGGGAGACCTATACCCTGGTAACAGCCTTCAAGCACCTTTAGAGGTCTCCTCTGATACCGAATCATCACCTCAGTATGATGAAATGGCTGCCTACATTGTTGAGGAACCTGAGGAAGCTCCTCCGGAAGAAAAAAACCCCTTCAACAAGAGAAAACCCCCACTGATCTGCCCAGCAAGTACTATGTCAAAGATTACGCTGTCTATCTAAAGGAAAAGCCCAAATCTGAGGATGAAGAAGAACCTACTTCGTCTTCGGACTCTAATTTTCTGCGTACTGGGAAATGGTACAAGAGGATGTGGGCAGAACTTAAGAAGCCGAAAGCTCAACCTCGTGAGCATGAGGAAGAAGAAAGGAAGAAAAACTGATCTCTTGTTTATGTATTTACTTTTATGTATAAACCTCTCGTTTGAATCAATAATATAATCTCGGTCTTAATGGTCTTAATTCGGTCTTGCATATGTGTTGAACGAAACTTTAGTTGTTTTGTTTGCACTTCCACAAGAATATCTCTGACCAAGCTTGCCTTTCTTGGAAATGAATATATTCTCTTGAGCGTGCTAATTATCTCAGTGACTAGTCATTCGGGGTCACACCTTTTGATGAACTTATCATCTATATAAAGGCTTCTCATGGGAAACATAGCTTCACACTTCTCAACTAATATCATCATGGACAAAGGGAAAGAGATGTGTCTCACAACGGGGAGTTTGTCTAAGAAAGTTTGATCTAAGAATGATTCTCGTCATGAACCCAACAATTCTCTACTGGAAGGATCATCCTCAAATGATGGATCCACCAAGGCCTCGAGCATCTCTCACTTTCTCTCATTCGTGAAGCTCGCACCACAACTCAAAACTGACGAAAAATACATGGTTATTCATGCTGATGCTGAAGCTCGAGTCAAGGATGAATTAGATGATATGGAAAAGCGAGGTCGTTCAAGAGACGCTATGGGAACAGACCACGAGAAAATTGTGGACGAAGTGTTCGCTCTCGAAGATCTCAAGCAGGAATACATTGCGAATGCCCGAAAGCAGAGGGATGCCAAGGAGTGAGAACTCGTGCAGCTTGAACCACGAAAGATGTAGTCACAGTGTCTAATATCTATGTCTCGTGTAATAAACATCTCTCGGGCTGTGTCATGTATTCTCGTTATATGTTCCATATAGGTTCACGAGACTTTATTTGTCTCATGGACCTTTCTTTGTGATAAGTAATGCTTGTTATGTTTTGGTTTTCAGACGTGCTCAAGAAGATACATATCATAAAGATCATCTGAGCCGATAAAACATTTTCATAATGGACATCGTGTGGCCGAGAAAACCGGTCCACTACCCCATGATCTCTGTCAGTTGAACTGATGCGCATTTAATGCATACATAGGCACTCGAGTGGTTTTCTCTCTCCCCATTTAATGAGGAATGATCAAAACTGATCTGAGCATGATCTTATCATATATCTATAACCAGATCAGTTACCTATTTTGAAGAATAGGAATCAGTTGAATTTCGAAATTCAAATCACCCACCAGTCAACTGGGTCACCCGTCTCATGTATACCCGAGACCCAAGAAAACCCTACATAAACTCTTTTCCTATCACACTTCATACCTTTCATTCATACTCTATCTCATTTATCCCTTCTCATAATTATTCTCTCAAAAACTCTCCAAATGGCGAAGAAATCCAAAGATACCCCCTCCGACGCTGAACCAGAAGTACCATCCACATTGGAGGTACCTACCTTTCCCACAGATGATATCACCTTTATTGAATCCCGGACTCCTTTCATCGCCGGTGGAAGCATGTGGGATGCGCATGGATTCCTGGAATATGTCCTTGATCGAGACTTTGGAGAAACAATCATCACCTTACTCAAAGACACCGGTTTGTACAAGTTTGCTGTACATTTGTACATATTTTGGTATCCCACGGATGTTGCATAGTTCTATATGAATGCTACTGTATCCTCGAATGCACTCTCTATATCCTCTAGAGTCAACAACCACGAGGTGACAATCACATCGGAAGACATTAGAACTGCTAATGAATTTCCTCATAGAGACGAGTCGTACAAGCCAAACTTTGCCTTCTATCATTACGACCAGAATGAGTTCTATGGCTCTATCAAGAACAACCATTCACCTTATGAAGTCTCGTGGCCCCTGAACAAGATTGTAGAACAAAAGACATCGGATACAGACAATGTAACAAAGGAGAAGCTCAAAATGCTGCACGCATTTCTCAATGAACACAAGGTGGATTGGTCAAAGGTCATCTTCAACAATCTTATCCATGTCATCACATATCAAAGAAAATCCCCTGGCGATATTACGAAGAAAATGGGTTATGGATTCTTGATAAGTCACCTCCTTACCACAAAGGAAATTCCTATGAGACCAGGAATTAGGCCTAGACCAAAGGCATGTCACATGAAGCACAAGCCCACGGGCTATGACAAGCAAAAAGCTTTGGAGTTGGGAATTCCCTTGGAGTTGGTCAAATCTAAACGAAAATCCAGAAAGACGAAGGATTCAGAGGATGACCAACCGAAGCCCAAACGACAGAAGAAGGAGAAAAGCCCGTCTCATGTTGCGACGAAAGAAGCCGATGTCGAGGTACCGTCTTCTGCACCAATAGCAATTCTAGAGGAGAGGATAACCCCGACTCCACCTGTTCCATCAATGGATCCGGTCATTGTGGAAGATTCTTCTGACGACGATGATAATCTTGTTCTCTCCAATCTCGGACAAAAGGGACGATTTCGATCTCCGGTTAAAGCAAGATCTGGGCCACTTATTTCCTCAAAGGCAGATACAAAGACGAAAGAAGCACCTTCCCAGGGGGAAGATAAGACGAAAGAAGTATCTTCTCAGGGGGAAGATAAGACGAAAGAAGCCCCTTCACAGAGAGAAGATGATGCGGAGACGAAAGAAGCATTTTCAAAGAAGAAAGCAAAGGCGAAAGATTCATCGTCAAAGGGGGAAACAAAGTCAAAATCTTCCAAGAAAAGAAAGCACAGATCTTCCTTAGATACACGTTCTCCAAAAAGCCTCCAACCACAAGAACCCATTTCAGCAAAGCGAATATCTCCATGTTCGACACAAGAACCTGCTGTTATGGAAAAGGAGGTCAATCACTTAAGTCTCCCACAAGAACCTGGCTTGCCAGAAGAGATGAGAGAAGTGATTGCCAACACGAATGTTGCTGCTGTTCTTCCCACCGAACATTCCCTCCCACAAGAACCTACCCTTGCAGAGCAGGTACCAAATATTCTGACACAAGAACCTGCATCGGTAGTTGAGGACGAAAAGATGATCTCTGAAAAGGCTGTTGATCCGTAAGCTGTTGTGACTCTACCAGAAGCTGCACCAATCCCTCCATTAAAAGATCAACTGCTTCGAGAATCTATGGAGATTGACTACAACAGGGTCATGCAATGGCAGAAATGGCGCACATCGCCAATAGATACTCTGCTTAACACAGCTGAAGCAATGAAGGAAGAAGAAAAATTTGCCTTGGAGTGGGTCGGCACGAAAGATGTATATGAAGCACTGCGTATTGAGACAATTCGACGAGTGTATTCTTATAAAGTGACCAATCGCACTCTCGGGAAAGATAAGGCACCCATCTGCACGGAGCTTACCAAGCCTCCTTTGGATCCAGCCTTCGTTGAAGAAATGAAGGAACTTCGCTATGCCATGCTCCTATCCAAAGTCAAGACTATCTTGGAGAAATCGCACTAAAATGATCCTAATTGCGATGTCAGTGGATCAAAGGACGAATATGGCAGAGAAATTGATAAAGCCAATAAGGCCGAAAAGTCTGATGACAATGAAGATGAAGACAATGAAGAAGACGAAGATGAAGATACTGATGATGCAGATGCGGATGATGAAAATGATGATGATGATGACGATGATGACACAGGGAATGATGATGACAATCACAATGGGGGTGACCCGAACTATGACAGTGAGTCCCCTCTCTTGGTCGGCCCGGACTATAATGAAGCAGTACCCGAAAGATCTTCATCACACAACTCAACCTCCCGAAGTGATGACAAAAGGGTAGCATCACTCCAGGCTGAAGAAGTTTCCAATACACATCTTGAAGACTTGTCTCGTGCTATCGTCCCCCATGTTCAACCTATGGACGAAACTCCCATCAAAAGAGAAGATGCAACCCTTCGTGAGGCAAACTAGTTGCTTCACCTGTCCTGATTAGCTCAGCCAGTGGTGGCAAAACGGATGCACCACTTCAAACAGAACAAATGGATACCTCTCCAACAAATATTGAACACGAATCTCCACTGTTGTCCCCACATCACGTCATGAACCTCATGAGGGACACTGTTCACACAACCGAACTTATTCATCAGGATTATTTAACTCTTCGGCGAAGGGACACCCAAACTATGGATGATTTATCTAAGAAAGTGGACCAACTGATGGCTGCTCGAGCTCAGTCTCGCCCTCCACCACAAGCTCAACCTCAACCACTACCTCAAGCTCCACCCAAACAACAGTCTAAAGGATTCTTTATTTCAAAACAGCCCCTCGTACTCAACCTCAGCCTCGCCCCCCACCACAAGCTCAACCTCAACCACCCCCTCGTACTCATACAATTATGCATTTCATACTTTATTACAAATACTATAATTAGAGATCATTGTCAATAATAATCACAATAATGTATGGTATATATAATAATATGGTGCAATTAATTATAATGTGCGTAAATTTTCTCTACTACATCGGCCCCCAACTCAAGTTTTCTGGCTCCGTCCCTGCGTAGAGGTGAAGTTGTTGTAAGCTTGATATTATAACTCCATGGTCAAAGGTTTGAATCTCACTCTCTACAGTTTTACAAGGTAATTAATGTGGGATAAGGTTGGCGTATGAGATGAAGTTTCAGAGAAAATGGCGTGAAAATGGGAAGATTGCTGCAAATGATCCCAATAATGATATCACTTCAAACATTGTAGCGGCTGCTATGGCGTTTCTGGCTAAGCAGAAGGAGTTTGATTCCTCTGAGCGCTACATATTTGAGAGTGTGGAAAGCTTGGTGAATTATGGGTTGGTGACTTGGTGGAGATGGTGAATGTGGTAAAACAAGTGAAGCCATATCTGAGTGTGGCTGATGCAATGTGGCTACTCTTGTTATTCGATCTCAACCTCATACAAGCAGCCTCGGAAGGGCAGTCTGTGGACCATTTTAGTCAGCTAAAAAGCTCCACCATTCCAAAGGAGGAGGATAAGTTGATAGCAAAGGCAGAAGAGAACAGGGTGGAGTATGAGGAAAGCATGAAGGAGATAAGAGCTCAAATCTCTGCACTTAAACTAGGGGCTGAAAGTAGTTCAAGTTCTGGGCAAGCTGCATCTGCAGCAGAAATGAAACGACGCGAAAGGGAATGTGTTATGTGCTTGAGTCTGGATAGAACAGTAGTTCTCCTCCATCCCATGCGCTCATCTGGCTTTTTAATTTGCGAAGATTGCAATGAGCTAAAGGTTAAGGATGAACGACTGTCCTACTTGTCAAACCCCAATCATGCAGCGCATCCGTGACCGTTTTCCTCCTCCCAAAGCTCAGCCCGAAAGCCATGACAAGAAGAGGCTATGTTAAGTACAGTTGATAATGGCATGTTTGCAATTCAAGTAATGCAAGAGTTCGATCTAGTGCATGCTAGCTTGATTGGCTACATGCTCAGTACTCCGGAATTATTCTATGTGATAAACTGTTGTTTTAATTTCTTTCGTGCGCTTTTTTATTTTCAAATTTACAGATTTTCTTTTATTTAAAAGTAGTTTAAAATTTTTGATGTTTTTCTTTTTATATTTTACAACTAACCCATAGTCAACTCATGCATAAAGGTTTATAAAATTTCTAGTCCGTAGCAACTTAAATGGCAAATTACTCTTTAATTTTTCTAAAGATACACAATTTACATACTAAGGGATGTTTGGTTCACGGAATGTTAGATTACCTTAGGAAATGTTAAATTGCTGGGAATGTTAGATTACTGGGAATGTTAGATTCTTGTGTTTGGTTAAAATTGAGGTATGTAATATAATAATGTTTGGTTTAGAGTTATATATATATAACCAAACGCCCCATAAATGTTCACAATTTATCTTTTAAAAATTCACAATTTGTGATGAGCCTGTATTGTATTCACAAATTCCCAAAATTTAGAAACACAATTTATATTTTAGAAGTTCACATTTCCAATTTTTAATAGGCAAATTATACCGTGGACCATGGTCCAAACCAGTGATGTTTCTTTTAATGAAAAGAAACGGTACATGTTCCGCATAAAGTAGCTCTGTTTGTATAACTTATTCAGTTTCATTTTATATACATTGCAGTTTCATTTAAACACAATTATAGTTTCATTTCTATATAAGTACAGTTTCATTCGACATTATATACTCAAATATGTGTGAAACTGTCATTCAGTTTCATTTTATATACACTGTAGTTTCATTACAACACAACTACAGTATCATTTCAGTATAACTACAGTTTCATTGGACAATATACGTTCAAATATGTGAAACAATTATTCAGTTTCATTTTATATACAACGTAGTTTCATTACAACACAACTACAATATCATTTATATTCAACTACAGTTCTATTTGACAATATACCCTCAATATGTGAGACATAATATTCAGTTTCATTTTATACATACTGCAGTTTCATTTCAACGCACCTAAAGTATCATTTCAATTCAATTACAATTTCATTTGATAATATAAAACAATATGTGAGACAGTTTTATTTTAGATACACTGTAGACTATAGTTTCATTTTGATATAAACACACTAAAAATACGGACTCTGCTAAGATGTAACGACAACCATTTCTTTACTCAAAGAAATAGCGCCATTTTTGGATCATGATCCACGGTATAACGACTGTTTTTAATACTAATAAAACAACCATAATGAACACCCATAGAAGTCTTATTAATATTGGGTTGAATTGTGGGCTTCCTTTTAGTTTGAATTCCCAACTAAATGCAATGCAACCCTAATCACATAGTGCAAATTAAAATAAATTTTAAAATTGCTTAAACTATTTGAACTTACTTTTAATTTCAGTCCCATAGATTTTATTTGATGTGTTAAACATCGTGTCAAATAAAATAACCCCTTACAAAATGAATTGAATTATGTATATATAATTCTTTAGGTTTATTAATAATTTATGTATTGATTACTCTCAATATAAGTAGAGATAACTACACTACAAATAACATACAACTATATAAAACTCTACCTTCAGCCCGTTGCTTGTGGAGAATGCGGCGGTTGTACGTGAATAGCGACGGCGGCAGCGGAGGAAGGGGACATAGTCGGAAACATGTCGATGGCTTCTCAGATTGGTGACTCATATTGTTGTTCGTGTTCAGCTTGGTGACTCATATTGTGGCAGCAACATATTCTCAACATTTAAAAGCGTAAAATTTATTCTGATCTACTTGTATATTATGTTTCGTCCACAATGTCTATTACAATTATTGTGTCCAGGTGGTGGCTTTGCTTAGCTTCTAAGTACATTTTTAACTATTATTATTAAAAGGTGGTCTTGCCTGTGCATGCACTTACTTTTCTCAGAGATTTCAGAGGATGGTAAGCATTTTCATTATTTTAAGGAAAGAAAGTTGGCAGGTGATACAATGAAAATAGTGGCGGATGCAATATTGGGTTTGTGTGGCTGATTTGCATTTGTATTTTAGAAAAGAAAGTTGGCAGAGATCAACAAATTAAAGGTGATTGTGGCTGGAAGAGCAATTCAAAGGTCGTCGCCGCCGGAGGGGCAATTCACAGTTTGTTGCCGGAAGAGGGATTCGTGGAGGCTATCTCGCTGCTGTGCTGTATCAATTCACAGGTCGTTGACCGGGGGAGCGATTCGTGGAGGCTATCTCGCTGTTGTGCTGTATTGCGCATTTGCGCTTTGTGGCAGAAGGTTCGTGGAGGCGATTCAGTTAGGATAAGCAATTCACCATGAAATGACTTGAATACCCCTTTACTTAACGCTAACCTAACCGATGGGTAACAGAAGGACCATTGGTGGAACAGATTTGAAAGTCAAGTGTCTTTTTTGTCCAAATTAAAAGTCAATGATCAATTTTAAAAAATTACAATAGTCGGAGGACTATTGCTAGAATTAACTCTTTTAAAAATTTTCATCACTCCATCGGACTTTACCTTGGAGTTAGTGTACAATTGTACATTTCAAAATTTTCAATTAAATCCACTTTTGTGCGAATACATGCTAGCCTTTCATTTTAATAAAAACTCAAATAATATAAAATAAATAAACAAATTAAAGTTTAGAATTCTTAATAAAAATTAATATAATATAAATATTATTATAACATAATAACTTAAAGTTTATTAACAATTTATGCATTCATTATTGTCGATATAAATAGACATAACTACAATACTACAAATAATAAATATATAAAATTTGACCTTCTAGTGAGGTTTGAAAGTTCATAGTAATGTTCGAAGACAAGTTACAGCCGGAGTATTGTTTTTTAGATAATAAAATTCAATTCAATTTTATGTTATTCATGAGATAAGTAGTAATCTTTTAGGTGACAATGAAAGATCAGAATCACTACTTGAAGATATGGGTCTTCCTTCATGCGTACTAACCTACACATATAAGATGTAAATCACATTAGAAAATTTTAGGTGATGGACTTGAGGAAGACAATGTGAAATGTGTTTTCAGCTTTATATGTTGTACTCTCTCCGTTCTGAATTGGTTGTCTCATTTGCTTTTTGTAGGCAATTTATATCCTACACCACGGCGCGCGTTGCACTATGCGCCCAGATGCAAAACGACGTCGTTTTAATTATTTTTTTTTTTTTTGAAATTTCCCACCCCAGTGAATGGCAGTAGTTTTTTCTTTAAAAAAAAAACCCGCTGTTCAAGAATGTACATAATGTTATACTAGAATACACATAATGTTATACATGAATGTACATAATTATATAACAAAATATACATACTCTTTTTAAAAGATATTTAATATGCACATTTTAAACTCATATTTTAGGTACATTTTGATAATAATTTTGCATTGGTTATTTAATATTATCTAATAATTAGTTCTTTTTATATATAATACAATATATAATATATAATATATAATATATAATATATATATAATACATACT